TGTCCAGACGGTTCTGGGATATCTCCAGCGAGTAAGAATCCACGTCCTCTGTGGGCAGTCTGTCCCAGAGCTCGCTCACCTCACAGGTAGAGTTCTGCCTTGTGGAACTCCTGGGCATTAATTCCTGACCATTGCTCTGGTGCCATTGCTGGTCCCTGGGAGCAGTGCCTGGTCCCTGCTCTGAGCCCTCCCTGCAGTCAGGGACGGTGTCCCCTCTTGGGGACCCACAGGGACGATGTTCCCTCTCTCCAGGCTGAACAGTCCCAGCTCCTTCAGCCTTTCCTCCTCAGAGAGATGCTCCAGTGCTTGATCAACTTTCTATCTCTTCACTGGACCTTGGGTACTACTGGGATAACCCTTTGGGCTGCTAGCATGGTCTGGGGAGTATAATCGTATTTGGACCAGGCTGGGCGTTGGCTGCAGCATCTCCTTTTAATCAAATCTGTAAGATTTGGATGCTGCAGCTTCTCCTTTTAATCAAGTCTGTTAGATTTGGATGCCATGGCCAGCCAGAGCATAAATTCATTATTTCTGGCTGCATGGGCACTGATCTGGGCAGAGCTGCTATGGCCTTGGGAGCTGTTTTTAAGGCATATGCCTTAATGAGAGGTCATTGGGTAACTTAATTCCGCAGAAGCTGGGATGTGTGTCTGAAGGAAATTAAAGTTCTGCATGCCTCCTCCCAGATTAAGAAAGATTAGTTGCTGTGCTATCCCAGCTTCTGAAAGAAAGGTTGGGAATGAAATTAGAGAGGCACCTGTGGGCCCTGCTCAGCAAGCACTCTGCCAGCTGCAGCCTTCCTCCACTGGTACCCAGGAAATGTTTGCTCCGCAAAACATTACAGTACACCAGTTAACAAAAAAATACTGGGATAATAGTACTCCAAACAAATTTTGTTACTGAGAAACTGAAATGCTAAATAAATTAACAAAGTCATGTGTTTCTAGTTTTACAAGTCTTTCCCCTGCAGGACAGCGCCGCTGTGGATCTGTGGTGCTGCTGACCCACTCTAGCACCAATTGTCATCAGCACTGGCAGTCCTGGACCAACAGCTCCTGTGGAAACCTGCAGGGGTGAGACACAGGCACCACTTCACACTGCTGATGTTACTGCCTTTTGTAATTACTTCGCTGCACTGGTTTACAACATTCTTGAAGGATGGCTTTGCTGCTTGTCTGAAACGTAAGCAGGGCAGGGTGCTTCGATCAAAAACATGCGGCTTCTCCCTTAAAGCATTTCTTTGGGATGGTGATTCCAGGAAGCAGGGCAGTTTATGGTGCACTTCCTTCTTCTCATCCCTGCCCCATGGCAGAGGCAGCCCATCCAACTCCTCCCCCTGAGTGTGTTTCAGGGGTAAAGCCCCTCCACTTTCCCCTCCCTCCTGGGGAATTTTTGCAGCATATGGTGCACGTGCTTGTGGGTTTCTGTTTACTTTGAATCCTGTATTATCACCACTTGCTGGGAATTTACCTGCCTAGAACAAGGCTTTTGTATATCTGGGAAATTCCATATGGGAACGTGACTTGTGCAGTCTTGTGCAACTCATAGGAGAAGAGCTTGACATGCTCTGCCCTGCACAGTGACAGAGAATTTGTACCTGGTGTGTGTAACAAGTCCAAAGCAGCCAGGACAATGTGGGCACAGCAGTCCTATAGATCAGCTGTACAGCTCAGACACAGTGTGGGACACATCCCTCTGGCCTGGACCTGCAGCTCTGGGGAGTTGTTTTCTATTGCCAGCACTATCAACATGCTCTGCACCTCTGGGGAAGTTGTTTTCTACTGCCAGCACAGGGCTGGAGCTACTGCTGCTGGACCAGTCCCTGCCTAGGGACCTTAGGTAGGTTGCCAAAGTCCAACTTTCCCTTTAGAGGAAAAGAAAACGTTTCTTGCATTACCCAGACATATGGTAACCCTAGTTAATTTACAGACATTGGTGGTGGTATCATAATCATTCAGTACTAAAACTTGTTCTAAGTTATATTAAAATATATAGAGATTATCCCTCTCGTTTTTGACTGGATAGTGCTTATCTGGGTTGATCATTGCTTTGGACATGGCAGGAGATAATGATGCTGCTTGAGACAAGCCATTCAAGTACATTTGCAGTGACTTCTGAGTTTGAAGGGATTGACTGTTCTGCTTGAGGGAACAGCAGCAGTGAGCCCGCTGACAACTGAGTCACAGATGGGTGCATGTGGGAATCCCCAGGACTGCTGCTCCCCTTTACAGCAAAACACGGTGAAATGCAGAACTGAGGGAAAACTCCAAGGCAAACAGCAAAGGAATCTCGACAACACAATGTTAATTGCACTTTATTTATACAAATGACCAGGGGGCACATCTATTAAAACCTCTTTGGCATCCCAGACTTGCCTTTGCCTGACCTGCAGCGCTGTTTGTGCAAGGCACACGGGATCAGACGACAATGCTGGGCTGGGATTATGGCATTACAGCTGTATTCATGGCTGAGAACCCAGTGTAATGCTCTGAACAACTCCTTTTCTGCTGACTACAGGGCAGCTGCAAAAGTCAATATCCTCTTGTCTTTCATATATTAATCATATTCTCCTCAGCAATAACTTCACTGTAAGGAAGAGAAAAAGTGTGTTCTGTCTTTTACATAAGGATGGGACTGAAAAGGTCAACTGGTTGGTGAATACTAATGAGAGTGTCTAAAATAGGTTGTGTTCACTGTGCTCGAAAGCAGATAAGTACAAACATTGATTGGCTCCTTTTAACATTTATTTAAACTCAAAGATTATTTTGTTAAGATGAAAAATGCAAAAGTACAGTAGGAGAGATGTGCTACCACTTAGGAATGCAAGGTAATATTAGAGGGATAGTATCTCTGATGTATATCTCAGATGATACATTTAACCTGTTAAATCTCTTGTTATACAGGACAGTTCCCACTATCATGAAACATGGACAACTTCTCTGCTGCTCTCCTGCTGCATTAGCATTTTGATAGGATGCCAGAAAACAAAAAGCTCCTGAGAACTGTTTAAAAATAAAACAAAAGGATGGAAGCTTCTTAGAAAAAATAATTAAAATGTCAGTGTCTCCTTACAGCATTAATATAAATATTTTAAATGCACTTAAAGTACTTGGATTTAGGTTAAAATTATTTTAAAGTTTTTATTTTTGTAACATGCACTAAATCACTTTACCCGAAAATCTCAAATATTTATATGATTGCAATAACGAAAATATCATAAACCATCTGTTCATTTCAAATAAAGAGATATTGTAAATAGAAGAACTGCTTATTCATGGTCACTGGTTTTTCATGGGTTGGTACCTTCTTGGAGGAAAACTCAGCTGAAAATCAGGGAAAGTTTTACAGTGAACATCGCAGTACACAAAATCTTCCCCCAGCTCTGCTTTGCCAAACTCCTTTCCCACAACAGGGAATGCTTCACTGTCACTGTGGATCTTCCTTCATCATGGGACACACAGCTGGTTTTATAAAAAAACCTTTAGAGAAATACCTACAGCCATCCAGCCTGGATTTTATTTTAGTAATTGTAATTAAATGAGAAAGGTGATCAGCATACATGTATCATACCTGGGGGCAAAAAACCAAACAAACAGTGGTTTTTGTTTCTTTGGAGCATCTGGGCAAACAACCAGGCTCCACCAAAGTCTTTGGCAAAATTCCCATTAACTTCACTCTTGGCTCCAGGTCAGAT